GGGGAAACGGGGCGGTGAAGACCGGAGTGAGGCTCCGGCTGGGAGGCTGGGGAGCAGCAGCGGAAAGGTGCCCCGACTGGACTCCGGGATTCTGAGCCGTTTCCTTACACACCGGCCTGGAGCGGCCCCGGCAGTGGCTTCACTCACCCCGCAGTGTTTGTGGGGTCCTTGCTCGGTGCAGGCTCGCGGTTTACATACGGAAATGTCAGGCAGCCTTCAGCTGGTCAAACTGTCCTGAAGGGAAACACCCCAAAACCTTGGGAAATCTTAGTAAAAGTAGTCCAAGTTGAGGCTCCCCTGAAAGTTGTGTACTTGAGAGTCCAGCAGTGTTGTGGACACTTCCAGTTTTCAGTGATAAGCCTGTTTAAAATTTCCGATGATGGAGAGTTTGTGGATAAGTTGTTATGCCCTGTGGGTTCCCGGTAGCTCTTCGGGGGTTTGTCGGTTAGAGGTTTTCTCTCCTGAAGCTGATTCATAAGAGCAGATGCTTGCCCTGCTGGTGGCTCCGTTGGCTGAGCGTCCTCCGGTGTGTGTGCCGAGAGGTCGCCGGTTCTGTGCCCAGAGACGTCGCCGGTTCGATTCCCAGTCAGGCACAAACCTAGGTTTCGGGTTCGATCCCAGGTCGGGGCGCCTACGGAGGCAACCGATCCATCTCTCCCTTCAAACCGATGCTTCTCTTCCCCTCCCCCCAAATAAATAAATAAAAACGTTTACTAAAAAAGGGAGAAGAACAAAGTTGTTTTGTTTTCTTGGTAATTTAAAACAAATGTTAGCAATCTAATTTATTCTGTGTTATTTTTAAATTCATGCCTTTGCTACCTTTCACCTGGGCTGTTGCAGTGCCCATCTCTAACTAGTCATCAAGCATTTGGTCTCTTTTCCTCTAAATGCTGTGTGTCTGCCCGACCACGACCCCCCCAACCCCCCCATTCTCTGGTTGAATTATTTTCCGTATTCTCTCCCACATTGGTCTTGGCTGCTGGACATTTCATTGATTATTGCTTATCGACTAGTCAAGCCTTCTGGTTCTCACTTTTTTCATCTGTAAACGGCAGGTTTGTTTACTTATTATCCTCCAGGAGCGTCCTTTCCTCTTCCCCAACCTTTCAGAACCCTGCCGTCCTTCAGATCTAGCTCATCTTCCTCTTTTTTAAAATTTATTTTTAATTTGATTTTATTTTGTTGATTTGAGAGAGAAAGAGAGGAAGGGAGGGAGAGAGTTCCATTTAGTTAGGCATTCATTGGTTGATTCTTTTATGTGTCCTGACGGGGATTGAGCCTGCAACCTTGAGGTATGGGGCAGGGTCAAGCCAACTGAGCTGCCCAGCCAGGGCCATCTTCCTCTTCTTGAAAGCTCGTTTCTGACCACACTAGCCCACAGGAATCAGAATCAACTTTGTCAAAACATTTAGGAAACTTATTGTCTGTGCTGTTTATTTTTAGCACATAGTCACATACTGCTTTGGCTGCGTCTTTCCAACTAGACTGTAAGCCCTGGGAGGCAGGAAGGTGTTTGGCTCAGAGTTCCTTACACACCTTAGGCTCTCAGCTGTGTTTATTGAATGATTGATACTAAACTTGGTAGTACTTAGTAATTTATTCTCCATTATGCTACCCTCAAAAGGCAAAATGGCTTAACTTCATAATGCCTTTACTAACAACTCCTGTTTTAAGGAAAGACTTTAACAGTAGCGGATGGTCATGCCAATTTAAGTACGTAATGAAAGCTCATAAAATCTTAGTTTGCATGCAAATAGTTGCCTTGAACACCACCTAGAAATTATATTGGTGATGATTCAATGTGTTTAAAGAGAGTGAGAGTTTAGACCCTACATGATATTTTCAGTCCTGAATTACTGGAGAGAAATTTGGTATGTTGTTTGACAATAAATTAATTCTAAGTGTGTTAGAACTTGAATCTGGCTTGTCACTTATTCCTTTGGGTGTCAGAGACTGATCCGATGTGCCATGCTCTGTTGATGTCTTATCACAGTAATCTTGGGCCATGGATTTCATGAATTTAAACTTTAGAGTGGAAGTGCTCTTCTGTTGTCTCTCTAGTACAGTGGTTCTCAACCTTGGCTTGCACATTAGAATCACCTGGGAATCTTTAAAATCCTGATTTCCAGGCCTCGAGGGCTCCTTTCACTTCCGTCTCCAAGTGATTCTAGCTGAGCTCTTCAGCCTTGAAATGGGTTGGAATGGGATCATAGTAAAGGGAAGATTAATGTCACTAAGAAAACGGGCATTTTCTGTGTTAGTGGCTCCTTCAGTTCAGAGGGGAAGAAAATCCTTGTTTGGGTACGATTTGGGTTTAGAGAGAGATGGTGCCTGTTAGTTGTTATTTTTGACAATTGAAACGTGTATTTAATGTAATTAATATTCCTTACGTAAAGAATATTATATATTTTTTCCAGTACTATTAGACAGCTGTTTCATAGCTCCAGTTACCATCCGCGAACTATTTGTACAGCTGAAAGGGATCAAACCTACAAAATTAACCCAAACTATACATCAGCACATTCAATGGATACCACTTAATGCCAATCTAGTTTCATCACTACACCCACCTACTCCCTACCCCCTGATTTTTAAAAACTATATTTTTATTGATTTTAGAGAGGAAGGGCGGGGGAGAGGGAGGGAGAGATAGATACATCAATGATGAGAGAGAATCATTGATCGGCCGCCTCCTGCACATCCCCTACTAGGGATCAAGCCCACAACCTGTGCATGTGCCATGACTGGAAATCAAACCACGACCTCCTGTTTCATAGTTTGATGCTTAACCATTGAGCCACGCTGGCTGGGCAAGATGTATAGATTTTTAATAATGGTTTATAGATTAAAATTATGTAAGAATTATGCAAATAACAAATTATTTCCAGGAAGTAGAGATATCTGATCACAAAACAGACATTGTACTGTAATCATGTGGGGTAGTTTTAGAGAAAAGATGACTAATGTAGCTTTAGGAACCCATCTCTCCCTATAATACTGGGACCTCATCCTAACAACCTTTTTCCTTTTTTATCATCAGTATCCCTTTTCCCACTACATCCTCCCCTTCAGCTTGAAAGCACAACAAATATTCTTTCTTTTGTCTTTTTTCACCCTCAAAATAGTGTTCCATCTTCTTCCTTCCCGTTGCCCTTTCCACTGAACTTCCCACTTACTCATTAGTCCATTGTGATCTGTCTTCTACCTCTTCTACTTTTCTGAAATTACCCCCTTAAAGAACACCAAAGATGGAATTATCATATTTAGTGGCTTCTTAGTCATCATTCTTCTTTACTTCTTCCTCCTTAAAACTTCTCTCTAAGCTGCTACCCGCTTCTGATTTTCTTTCCAGCTTCTGACAGTTTTCTCAGTCTCCTTGCTGCTCCCTTTAGTAATTCATGCAACAAGTCTGCTGTGGGCCAGAGCGTATTTTAGGCACGAGAAATATAGCCGTGGATAGGACAAATTAATCAGCTCACATGAAGAAAGAGATCAGTGATTTAAAAACTTATTTTAGTTGTAATAAATGCTAAGAAACATTAGAGTAGTGTGATACTGAGTGATTTTCAGTAGCAGCTTTATATAAGATGCTTTATCTTTTTTTTAAATCCTCATCTGGGGATGTATTTTCATTGGTTTTAGAGAGAGAGGAAGGGAGAGAGAAAAACATTTATGTGAGAGAGAAACACTGATCAGTTGCCTCCTATACACACCAGACACATCGTACGCTCCCCCACCGGGGATCGAACCTGCAACCCACATGTGCCCTGACCAGAAATTGAACCCATGACCTCTTGGTTCTAAGGATGGTTCCCAACCAAGCCACACCGACCAGGGCTTGATGCTTTGTCTTAATTTGTGCCCGAATGGCAGGAGATTATCAGTCAGTTGAAAGTCTCAGAACATTCCAGTTAGAATTACCTGCAGTGTTTGAGGCAGGGGCTGAGCTTTCATGAAGAACAGAAAGGAGGTCCCTGTGGCCAGTAGGCATCCAGTGTGAGAGGTGGGTAAGCACGAATCAGATCAAGTGCAGGGAAAGCCATAGCAAGACTTAAGCAGAAACATGATATTATCTGATTTAGTTTTGAAAGGTCATTCTGGTGCTCAATGAAGTTGGTGTGGGCAAGAGTGGAAGCAGTTATGCTTTTACAGAAGTGTTGCCCGGGGCTAGTGGTGGTAGTGGAGATGAAGAGGAAATGGATTCTGGACAGGTCCTGAAGGCAGAGATGC